TCCAGCCAAGCCCAGTAGGAATCAGCAAGCATAAGATTGATGCACCTGCTAATGCAAGTCCCAAGATCGCCTGGAATAATGGGAATAAACAATCCAGTGGTGAAATAGTCTGTGCAGTGCTAGAGACAGAGCACAAGCATCAGAACCTCTAGGAAAGAGCCATAAAAACCTGTCCCTGTATCATCATCAGTCCCAGGAAACAAAAAAATGCATCAAGGTCTATCAAGTCCTCTGCACACACGCATTGGACTTCTAGGTGACTTTCTATGAAGCTCTGATTTTGAGCAGTGATCAATTATGCATTTCAAGCCATATGGCACCTTCATTCCAGAAGGAAGACATTTTGTCTTGAAATCTGTAAGCTAGAAAATCTGCTGCATCCTGACAGAAATGCAGCATTGCCAGCTATTCAGAATCATCTGCCAGAAGCAGAATCATTAAAAGAGAAAAAGAACCAGGATAAGATTAATCAGACATCCAATTTCCATTGAACCACCCTGGAAGGGGAAATTGACCCTTACACGTGCCCTTCCAAACGGTCTTCTTTTTAATTAATCTGAGTTAGAGCTTTGATTTTTGTGGGAAACCTGATACAATATGCCACATACCCAATTTAGCAGGAGGATCTCTTCCAGAAGGGATCTATTCCAGGCAGAAAAGTAGCTAAAGTCCTTCGGGGTCACTGGATATGCTACCAGAAATGACCGCACTCTTGCATACTAGCAGAAGCATCATTCCCTTCCCAGGAATCGCGGATTAGAAATGTAGAAACATACTGCTCTCCAGTGGAACCAGAACACCCAAGGCACTTTTCAGAGCCTACAGCAACAAGTGATGCTACAGACGTTTTGTACAGGGAGCAGGCTGCTCCCTCTCTCGTAGCCTGCCTACAGTATTTCCTGATCCTTAGCTGCATCAGTGCAACACTCCGGGTTTAGTTCCAGCAGCTTTGTGGAAACAGCGTTGCCTCCCAGTGCTCTTGAGGCCTGCTTGGAGTGAAATAACAACGGGGTGGAATTTGAGAGGTGCTCTAATCGATCTAGTTCCCTCCAGGGTTAGCACTGGTTAAGCCGAACCTACAAAAGCAGTGGTAAGTGAAAGTGATTTTGTTTTCTGCTGCAAAGGGCAATTAATCACCAGCAAAGGCCAGCCACTCTGTGGTCTCCAAATGAAACCAAGTAGGTGACTACTCACTGTAAGCGTGATGCCCAGCCGTAACGACATCTGTGGCCTTGAAGCAGGCAGGGCCAACTGGGGAGAATGCGTTGGAAGAGTGTTCAGGGGAGGACCAGGCGTGAAGGTCAGTTGGCTACACCCTTTGCCCGTGTGTAATTGTGCACAGCCCCAAACATTCACTTTACAGGTGCCTACAGATGCAGCCCTTCTGCTACACCAGGTATCCCACTTTCAGGTGGCAGATGCAGCAACAATCCATCCTTAGCATAGAGGCACAGGCTCACTGTGCTCCTACAAAGGACTTTGGACCATGGCCCACTTCCAGTGCAAGCACAGGAGGCTCTCTTTGTATAGGCTTTTATATGAAGGAATGCTCAGAGCCTTGGAAATGTTTATTAAACCTTTTCTTCCTTGTTCCGCAGGTCATTGCGGTTGTTTGGGAGAGATACACCTAGAGCTCAAGGTCTCCCAGGAAGACGTAACGAGGGTTGGCTTGCAGCAATGTTCTTTCTGTAAATAACTGTGGTGATCAAGGTTAAGCTCTTTACGGTTGAATTGATTCTAATCTGAGCAAAGAAAGGGGGAATGTGCGGGCAAGGTTCTCCCGAGTGCCAACATGCAAAGCTCTGCTGACCCAGAGCCCTCCGGGGGACTCCCTGGGACAGGACCCCAAGCAGGAGGGTGCCTAGAGCTATGGTGTGAACGAGGCTTTGCTGGAGAAAAGCTACAGGAAAGACAAAAAGCTACAGGAAAGACGATTACAGACCCCCTGCTCGTCAATTTCTATTATTGTGTCAACAACTGACACAGATCTTCACTCCAACACAGTCAACACTTCTGCCCGCTTCAGGCAGTCCCTTCCACTCCTGTACAATTACAGCCAGGCTGGTGGTTTGTACATCAATCCCAGCCGAACCTTGTTTCACAACTGTTTGCATTTCTCCAGCTCCCAGGGCCTGTCAGCAGGTGGTGCTTCACGGCAGCGCCGGTACAGGCAGCACGCAGGCAGGCTTCTCACATGAAGATTAATGCACTTGTGTGGGACTTACCTAGCTCCGGGTGCCACACGCAGCAGAGCAGCTCATCAACTCCACCTTGCTCCCGGTGCCACACGCAGCAGAGCGGCTCATCAACTCCAAACAGCTCCATAAAGAAATCAGTGCCCCTGACAAACCGCCTCCCCCACAGCACACACAACTTCAGCTCGGCGTTTCCAGAATACAGATTTTCCCAACCTGGTGTCAGGCTTGTGGAGAGGTTCCTCCTTGGTACAGGAACAGGAAAGATAACCACAGACTTACGGCTTTGCTTTGGCTTACACACTGCTGTCATTTCAAAGGAGCATAAACCAGGATCCCTCAAGCGAGGCTAAAATAAAGAGGTTTATATGGAAAGGCTTTAATTAACGATCTGTATGTTGGCAGGAATAAATTGAAGAGCATTCTGGGACTTCTCCCAGATGACTCCGGTGTTGCAGCAGCTTGTCCCATAGAGCAAGTTGGGAAAATTGTTTAACCCCAGGCTCGGCATTGATTAATAGCTTGTTTTTCCACGATTTCTCAGTTGGATTAGATCTCAATCAAGATCAACCGATGGCCCTCACCAGCTTTGAGCTCACCTTACAGCTCCACTAAACATACTCTCTTCTCCAGCTAATGCCTTACAGCCAGGAAATACATGTCTCTGCCAATTCCCCAACTTTTCAGGTATCCACTCACAGCCCTTTTCCTGTCCTGGCATGAAGGGGACAGCACTGTGAAGCTTGTCTCACCGAAACGTACCCTTGGATCCGGACAGGATGAGGAAGTTACCTTCTTCAGGCTGGCAAAAGGTGCAAAACTCTCACCCCAGCATTCCCTATTACGGTGGCAATTACTATTCCTGTAGTTATTTTGTGAAGGGTGAAGCATGCTCTGGCCGTTTTGGTGGCGCAGCAGCACAGTCAGGTCTGCGCAGCGCAGGGTCCTGCTGGCTGCATCGCTGCAGCACTACAGGCCTACACGTAGCACAGAGCCCTGTTCACTTCGGAACGCCATCAAGTTTTTTGAAACTGCTTTTTCCCCCCACCATCCCTCCTGCAGCAGGTCCAAAATTTGAGCCTCAGTCACTATCAACAGAGCCCGCAGTGGCCACTCCTTCAGTGTGTGATCTGAGAGAGTTCCTTTAAACACCGACTATCTCTCCAGCTCAGCAGTCAAAATTCAATCACTCGAGACTTCAAAAACTTGACCCCTTTTACGCTGTAATAACCTGGAGGACAGGGTTGGTATCGTCTCAGGAGAAATATGCATCTAACTCATGAAGTAACTGTTTGGCCAAATGACAGCGCAGAGTAACATCCCGAAGATGAAACTACCGCTGATAACAGCCCGGATTACTCCACCACCACTGGTGGGCTCTTTCATACCCACCAGGGATTCACTTCACCTTACAATATTCAGGGAGCACAGAAGCATGAAATTTGATTTCTTTCTTCTGAAGATGCTGGAGATTATTTTAATAATTCTTACTTGGTATCACTGAAAGAAAGCTCTTGCTCAGTGGTTTAATATAAAGTCTTTTAATATCTGTTTCAGCAATAAAACCTCTGCTTTCTCTTCTATAAATGTACTAATCTCACCAAAGGATATAATTTAAATAGTAGAATGAAGCAGAATAAAAACATACAGCAGCAAGCGAACATTCTTTTCAAACAGGGACCCGCTCTGAACTATCTGCAGTCTGTTCCATCAGATTAGACCCGAGCAACAATTTAAATCCCAGCTCCAACCATCAATACGAAGAGCAGAAAGTGTTCTTTTACCCTTTCGTGGATCGCTCTGTGAACGGATGCATAGTGGAGAGAAGCAGAACCAAAAGGAGTAATAGCAGACAGCAGGAAAGGTGAGATATATCAACCAGAGGACACCAAATAAAGGAGAAAGTGTAGGAGAACTGCCTTGACAAACAGTGTGTGTATCGCTACCTGCAGGCCCTGACCCTAAAGCTTGCAGTCTGAGAGCCAGATACACAGAGAAATGATTCACTGGGTTTAAAAAAGAAAAAAAAGCAGGGGGGACAGGGCAGGAAATACGGTGGAAAATAGAAAAATACATCCAGGAGATTTATAAATGTATTGTCTGCTTAGAAGAAATTTCTAAGGGGCTAATAGGCCAAATTATTTTGGCTTGAACTCAGTATTAATTAAGACTCATTTGCATTAGTATATGCGAGAGAAATACCACTGGCTCTGGTAATTCATGGCGAGTTATACAAACACCTGTCAGGGATCTTAGAGACATACTCAGACCTGATTGCACATCTACTGCATGGCCTGCTGCATTACCTTCTCCATGTACGGGCTGCAGCTACGGCGTTTGGAATGAAATACTGTATTTCTTAGATAGCTGACCTTCTATCTACCCTGGTTTTTAATATAAAACATTTGTTTTTAAAAGAGTAAAACTGTCCAGTCATGTTTATATATATGGTTCACAGTAACTTAGAAGACAAATAAATACCATTCCTATGTCCACACCGATTTCACCATAAAGATATTAAAAAAAACATATGGCAGCTCTACTTGGAGAAATGAATATATCCATAATGAAAGACTCCCAGTTAAATGATGAAATAAAGTTAGGTGAACATGGTTGGCATGGGAAATAAAAGCAATAAAATAAAAGTTCTGACTGGTGTCTGGAACTAGAAATACTCTCCCAACAATGATGAAGGTTAAAAAACTGAGAAAAACCCCACTCCAGCACCCAAGTGTTTTCTATAGGGGGTGATCTCCTCCTCACCCTGCAAGATGGGGATTAATACCACTAGTTAATAAAAAGCAATTTGCAGGTACCACAGTAGCTTTATTTCCACCTGACAAGTAATTCCTGTAAGCATATCAGTAATGCCCACATAAGATTAATCTATAGGTCAAGATCTACACAATAAAGGGGTTTTTTTGTCTTTCTAAAGTAAGACTTCAGTGTTCTTACAGAGACATGGAGAACACTTCAGGCAATAATTGTTTTCTCCCAGGCAAAATGTTCTTATGGATCTTTAAGAGTAGGCTAGAGAAATTAAAAGAAAAAAGTTAAGAAATACCTGAGGAAAGTAGACAAAGGCAGTACTTTTGCTCATTTAAAAAAAAAAAAAAAATCTTATTTTACGAAAATTAAACTTTGAAAAAAGGTTCCTTCAGGAAACGCTTCCTATTGCAATATGAACAGAACGTACAATATGTACTACATAAGAGTTATGCTTTCCATACGTGAGGAGTGAAGTTGTCTTTCTCCATTACGACTTTTCAGGTTTTGCTTCTGATTTCTCATCCATCAGATCTTTAAATCCCAATTTTTCCAGTGGTTCGTTAGCCATAAGTTGCCTAAGTTAAAAACAATAAAACAACAAAAACATTATGCAGAACACAGTCTATAACCAAGGGAACAGCAGCATTTTCTATTTCGTAATATTATTTATTCTAAGAAATCCAAGATGTCCATATGGAGTTACTGCCGCTTAGCAAAGCCTCAGAAACTTCAGTTTTGGGAAAGCAATATTCAGGGATACTATTTTTTTCTTAACAGTGGTTTTCCAATTAAATGTGTTGTTTCCTGATATTAGATATTGAATATGAGTTTCCTCAGAAACTGACCCGACTCCTTGTTATCTTTAATTAACAGACTGCGTAAGAGCTTCCTAAAATTCTACCTGTCCCATTTACCAGATTTTTAAGCGAATGCGGTTTACAGCAACATTCATGGTGCCGCTATACCTTGCTGTAGTGATTTTCAAACTGTTTGTTATTCGCAGCCTTCCTCAGCACCAGCCCGTTCAGTGTATGCAAGCATCCTCGTATTGAAGCGCACGTAGTAGCACCCTTCGTGCCCTTCCCAATGAGCTCCCTGACTCACCACAGAATAGAAAGCATTGCAAAGCAACGCAAGACTGGGAACATCCCTGGAAAACCAACCACCAACACTTTTTTCACTTGAACTTCGGAACAAGTTAATCTTTTAACTTGTAACCATAGCCAGAAAAAAAATCTAAAATCTTCACATTGAGAAAGATGGGCTGTGCAGAGTGGAAGCTGACCGAGTCTCGCAGTTACCCCACCCTTCGGGCTGGATATCTATGCCACATCAAAAACGTCAGCCAAGTGAACCGCTGAAGCTGCAGAGGACACCTGTTTCTTACAAGGACACAAGCTTCCTGCGCGAACGCCTCTACTGCGGGTTCCCTTCCCCTCCCCGCAAAGGGAACGCCGCTGCCTCCCCGCCCCGGGGGGCCACCCGGCTGCCCCTCAGCCCCCCCCC